CGCCCTGCGCGGATGCGAATGAGGCCCCGCCGTCCCCTTCGGGGCCTGCGGACTGTGAAACGGTCGCCGCTATCGTGAGTTCCTGTGGGCCCAGCGGGGTCACGCCTTACGCGGATCAGAATGCGCCATCGCCGCCCCCTTGGGGCCTGCGAGCTGTGAAACTGTCGCCACTTCCGTGGACTCCCGAATGTCCAACGGAACGACGCCTTGCGCAGACCCGCGCGAGGCCTCGCTGTCCCCTCGGGGCCTGAGGACTGTGACTGCCGCCACGCTCGTGGGCACCCGGGGGAGGGAGGGGGCAACGGAACGATGTTACACGCAGATCCTGACGAAGCCTCGCCGTTCCGCCGGGCCCTGCGAACGTTCGCGTGCTCCTTGGGCGGCCACGGGGCGACGCCCTACGCCGATCCGAGCGAGGCCTCGTCGTCCCCTTCGGGGCCCGCGGGCTGCGAAGCCGTCGCCGCGCTCGTGGGCTCCTGGGGGCCCTGCGGCATGACGCATTGCGCAGATCCGAATGAGGCCTCGCTGTCCCCTCGGGGCCTGCGAACTGTGAACCTGTCGCCACCTTCGTGGGTTCATCGGGGGGCGGTCAGCGGAATGACGCCGTCGCCGTCCACGAACTCCTCTTCGCCTCAATTCTCTAGCGAGGATGACTTGCCTTCCTCTGCGATTCGGAGTCCGCTCTAACTCTTGTTTCTAATGTATACAATCGTGGAGTTCAATGTGCAAACTCCTCTCCAACTCCATTATCTGACAATTTTTTGAAGTTACCGGTGCTGCGGGATCATGTAACTCTGGATCTTCATGTGCGGCATCATGAGTTACACTCTGGAATTGTGTACGCAAATTCCTCTGCAACTCAATCATCTGGCAATTCTGATTTGGATTTCTCTGCGATTCGGAATACGTTCTAACTCTTGATCCCAATGTGTTGGAGCACATTTCTAAATCTGGAATTCAATGTGTAACTCCCGATCCAATCCCATTATCTGACAATTCTGATTTGAATGCGTTTATGGTTTGGACTCCTTTCCAACTCTGGATTCCAATGTGTCGAATCCTTTGTAACTCTGAATTTGGATGCGTAAATCCATCGCCAACTCAATTATCAAGCCATTATGATTTGAATGTGTCTGTGATTCGGAGTCCTCTTCAACTCTGAATTCTCATGTGTAGAATCATCTCTAACTCTGGACTCCAATACGTACATTTCATTCCAACTCCATTATCTGGTAATTCTGAGTTGCATTTCTCTGCGGTTCGGAATCCTTTCTAACACTGAGCTTTACTTCCAAATCCGTTCTAAATCTGGATTTCAATGTGTGAATTCCACTCCATCTCAATTATCTGGCAATTCTGGTAGGCATTTATCTCTAACTCTTTATTTTCCCTGCATCTCTGGATTGCAATGCGTGATTCCCTTCCCAAATCAATAATCCACCCAAGCTGATTTGAACTTCGCTGTGAATCAAGAGTCATCTCTAACTCTAGGTTCTATCAAATATGTAGAAACCTTTCGAAAGCTGGATTTCAATCTGCAAATTCCTCTCCAACTCGACTGTTTGGCAATTCTGATGTGAATGTTTCTGAGGTCTGGAACCCTGTATACCTTTGGACTGTGATGTGTAAGATCCCTTCTATCTCCGGATTTCTATACGTAAATTCCTTCCCAATTCAAATATCTAGCCATTCTGACTTGAATCTCTCTGTGATTCGGATTATTTTCTAACCCTGGATTTCAATCCATAGGCTGCTTTCCAACTCAAGTCTCCAGCAAAGCCGAATTGGATTTCTCCGTGGCTCGGACCCCTTTGTAATTCTGGATTTTCATATGGACAATCATGTTAAAAACTCTGGGTTTCTGTACTTAGCTCCTCTCCAACTCAATTATCCGTCAATTCTGGCTTGGATTTCTCGGCGATTCGGAATCCTCTCTGACCCTGGATTTAACGTATAACACCCGTTCGAACTCTGGATTCAAACCTACAAATTCCTTTCCGACTCAATTATCTGGCAATTCCGACTTGAATTTCTTTGAGATTCGGAATCGTTTCTAACTCTTGATTAATGAGGGGAATCATTCATGACTCTGGGTTTCACTGTGTGACTGCCTCTCCATCCCAAGTCTCCAACAATTATGATTTTCAAATTCTCTGCCATTAGGAACTCTTATCTGACTATCTGCCATTCGGAACTCCTATCGCCCCAATTCTGAAATTGCATTATGTAAGTCCTTCTCCAACTCAATCATCTGGCAATCCTGACTTCAATGTACCTGTGATTCGAAACATGTTTTAACTCTGGGCTTTAAGGTGTAAACATGGTCCGGATTCAAATGTGTAGAGTCCTTTACAACTGCATTAACTTGCGATTCTGAGTTGAATGTGTATTAGATTGTGCACCCTTCTCTAACACTTGATTCTACTGTCTGAAATCAATTGTGCCTCTGGATTCCACTGTGTGACTGCCTCTACAAGGACTCCAAATCAATGATCTGGCCATTCTGATTGAATTTTCTGAGAATCGGAATCCGCTTTAACTCTGGATTTGAATGTATCATCCCGTCTAACTCTGGATTGTATGTTAATTCCTCTCCGACTCCAGCATCTGGCAATTATGACCGGCCCTTCTCTGTGATTCGGAGTCCGTCCCAACTCTATGTTTAAATGCGTCAATTCCTTACTGATTCTGGCTTTCAAAATGCAAAGCCCGTTACAGCTCCATGATCTTGCAAGTATGATTTGATGTCCGCTGTGATTTAGGATCCGTTCTAGCTGCTGGCACCTCGTATTAAAATTCCCTTCGAATTCAAGTATGATGCAGGTTCCGATGTAAGTCAGCATCTTTTCGAACCATGGCAATTCGTGCTCGATTTCTTCTCTACATCAAGATGTTTCTCTCAAGGGCGTTCGCGCGCGGACCTACATTGAGAATGCCCATTCCAATTCGCGCTGCAACTGCCTGCAGCGCGAGCCACAGCAAATCATTCCTAAACCAGTCAACGCTGCACTGCAGCAGAACAGATGTGGTACGTGGATCAGGCATGAAGCCTCGCCGTCCCGTCGGGGCCTGCGAGCTGTGAAACCTTCGCCCCGATCGTAGGCGCCTGGAGGCCCATCGGGGTGGCGACTACACACGGATCAGAGTGAGGTCTCGTCGTCCCCGCGGGGCCTGCGAACTGTGAAGCTGTCTGCACTTTCGTGGGCTCCCATGGGGCCCGGCGGAGTGCCACATTCTACGCGGATCAGACTGCCTCCGGGGCCTGCGAACCATCAACCTGCCGCCCCTCTCCTGGGCGCCTGGAGGTCCAGCGGGGTGACGTCTTGCGCGGATCACAGTGAGTCTGTGCCGTCCCCTCGGGGCCTGCGCATCGTGACGCTGTCGCCACCTGCGTGGGCCCCTCGGGGCACGTCGGAGCGACGTCTCGCGCGGACGAGAGCAAAGCCTCGCCGTCCACGTCGGGGCCTGCGCACTGTGGCACTGTCGCCACGCTCGTGCGCTCCTGGGGAGGGCTCAGCGGAATGACGTCTTACGCGGATCAGACTGGGGCCTCGCCGTCCCCCTCGGGGGCTGCGAACTGTGAGTGGCCACCTTCTTGGGCTCTTGGGGGCCCAGGTGAATGACGCCTTACATGGATTAGAATGAGGCCTCGCCTCACCCTCGTGGCCTGCGAACTGCGAAACTGTCGCCACGTTCGTGGGGAGGTGAAGGAGAGGGAGAGAAGGAGAACGTGATTGGGACTCACCATTTCCCAAAGTATCCCGTCTGCGTATGTAAGTATGCTTCTGCCCCACTGTGTTTGCTCATTCGTCTGCTCGCGGTCGCCTTCCTGTCCATGATGCAAGTCACAAGAGTGATGCTTTGAATGGGAACGTTTGTGTGGCCTGACGTTCTTTGGGGACGCACTCAAAAATACTGCGGATCCTTCAACGTGCTTTTTTGCATGGGACGCTCCTGGGTATCATCGCATCATGATTACATCGAATTTGGGTATACAGGGTACGTCCCCGGATGCTTCAAAATGGAGCTGCCGACTGAGTTTTCCCTGAGGCCATGACCGCGCGCGTAGACTTATGCAACAGTCACGCGGGTGTGGGGAGCGGTCCTTCCTCGAAAAGGGAATCTCGCTGGACACCTCGCTGAAGTGCACGATGAACTTTGGCTGTCCTGATTACCCGCCAGAACGATGCAAGATAACCGCCAGCTCAAGATGGAAAATAAGATTCGGGGTCCAGGCGGGATAATAAACGTTTTCCCGGAGATCCTAGCAGTATGATGAAGATGATGACGATAGTGGTGATCAAGATGATCCTGAACGTCCATAAGAATAATGATCAGTTTTGGCTGTCATGAACGTTCATGATCAGTTGTGGCTGTCCTGATGACCCGCCAGAAAGATGCAAGATACTCCTGTCTCAAAGTGGCACCCTCGGCAAGGTGGCAGGCCCAAACGTGCCGGTCTTTCAAGGCGGCTCTTCCCGTGGCGAAGCGGAAGACCTGCAGGGGCGTGTGAAGAGGAGGGGGCTTGGGACGGGAGAGTGCGTTGCAGCATCGTCGGAACAGCTTTGGTTTACTCTGGTCCTCCTCCTCCCCCTCCTTCTCCTCCTCCTCCGCCTCCTCCTCGAACCTCGATCATCGAACCTCGACTCTCCAGCGGCGGCGGCTGCGGCTGGAGTCGGCGACGACGACGACGACGACGGCGGAGGGCGTCGACGTGTCCGTTCCGGTGAACTTCGAGCGAGTCATTACGGAGGCTCTCATCTCCGCGGCTGGACGCCGCTCGCAACGGCAGCGGAGTCGATGCCGACATCGACGCCGCCGACGACGCCGACGACGACGACGACGCCGACGACGACGACGACGCCGACGACGACGTCGACGACGACGACGACGACGACGACGACGACGACGACGGCGGCGGCGGCGGCGGCGGCGGCGGCGGCGGCATCGGCGGCGGCGGCGGCGGCAACGACGACTGCAGCGACGACGGCGGGCCACGCCTGCCCGTCGGGCGAGAAGGCGGCGGACGCCACGTAGCACTTGTGCCCCTTCCACGTGCGCAGGAACCGCCCGCCAGAGGGCGCCCACAACCTCAGCACCCCGCCCGTGGAGCCCGTCAGCACCTCGCCGAGGAGGGGGAGGAGGAGGCGGAGGCGGAGGAGGAGAAGCACGACGAAGAGGAGGAGGACCTCGCCGTCGCTGTCGGCGTCGCCGCCTTCGCCGCCGACCGCCGTGGACGTCATTGCCGTCGTTCGGGGGGCGTGGGCTGACTACCTCACTGATGCCAGGCGGGCCGGGCCCGGGATCGACGTCAATGCCTCTCTGGCCAGGCCAGCTCGGCCCAGAATGGGTGAGAAGGTGGTCAGTTCGCGCGCCTCGAGTCGTCGATGGCGTTGCCATAGTCGCCGTCGTCATCGTCGGCGCCGTAGGCGCCGTCGCCATCATTTCCGTCGTCACCGTCGCCGCCGTCAGACCAACATCCTCTCAAAACCGGTCCCGGCACCCTTCCCCGGGGCCCACCGTGTCTGGTCGTTCGAGCTGCGCCCAGCTGTGGCCGCGAAGCCCTCCTGAGTCGCGCGGCAACCTCCGGGCCGGGCGTCGACGTCCTCATCGGCGTCGCCGCTGCCGCCCAAGGCCGCGCTAACGGCGATGTTGGTTAACGACGATGTTGGGAACATGGTTTTTGTGGCACCGAGCTCGCGCAGAACAAATGGTAGGAAATCACGAAGCATACTGCCCTGCATGTCGAACGTGCGAAATGGATCGAGCGAGAACGACGCCGGGAATTGCAGGAACGCGCGAACCACCATGACCTAAACTTGGTTTGGCCACGAGCCAGTCCCACCTGCAGTGCCGAAACCTGCATCGCCGTTACCCACATCGCCGCCAGCGCGTCGCCGCTGCCGTCGGGCCCGGCGGGGCCCAGCCAGGCACCTGAGACCCGTCCGGCGCGAAGACGGCGCAGCTGACCTCGGACGGCCGCCCCTCGAAGCAGCAGGAGGGCGCTGCAGCAGGCCTCCTCCTCCTCCTCCTCCCCCTTCTGCTCCTCCTCCTCCTCCTCCTCCTCCTCCTCCTCCTCCTCCTCCTCCTCCTCCTCCCAATGGCCCGACCACGAGAAACCTTCCACCGGAAACCCAAGTGCGGGAACGTCGCGCTGTCCCTCGCAGAACCCTCGAGACCCAAGAAGCCCAGGGCAGCCTGGAGGCAAGCAGGGCGCTTCTTGGCGGGGGTCTCCTCTGTCTCTGCTCGCGTCGCTCCTGGACCACGTCTCGATGTGCCCAGGCCCCCAACGCCGAACTAAGATCAGCACGGCGGCCTTTTCTGCTGCTGTGGGTGCCTGGGGGCCGTCATCGGGCCCTGGGGCCGTCGAGAGGCGATACGCAGGACGGAGGGCCCGATCCCCGGAGAGCGTGTCCCACTCCAGAACGGCGTCTGGGCATCGCTCGAGGCCAGACCGTGCGCATTATAAGATCCACCGCCCAGTGCAAACGCTGTCCCAGGCGGCGACGGTGCGTATACTCCGGCCTCGGGTGTGGGCCAGAGACCACACGATCTAGAAGAAGGACAAACCCCATAAACACGATTTTTTGGCGCTCCGCGCGGATTTCCCGGATCCGCGCCAGACCCCCCTCCCTGGCGCGCGGAGCGCGCCAGGGGCGGCGCCAGGGGGGCCCAGCGCGGGTCCAAGAAATCCGCGCGGAGCGCGAAAAGTTTATGTTTATGTGGTTTTTTCTTCTTCGACCATCGCTCCCTGGGGGGCCACCTGCTCCAGTCGGGGGGGGGCGGGGGCTGGCGAGGTGCACTCCCCTGTGCCCGCTCGGGGATAGTCTCCCCCCCCACTCCCTCCACCTCTCACCTTCCCTGCACCTGTCATTTTCCCTGCTTCCCTTCGGTCGGGCATGTCCTCCTACAGGCGGATTTTGGAAGAAAAAAACTCAACCATCAAATCATCAGACTATTTTTACCTAACAGCGAAGACTGATAGGTTTCTAATAGGGTCAAAAGAGCATCTTGACGCCCCATGGGGGTCTGGGCGCGATCCGGGGGAATGCCGGGGATTTTTTTTAAGCAAACAATTACACACTTCGTGGTCTTCGAGGTCCCAGAACTCCATTCCCGGGCAACATTTTGAATGCCCGGAGCCAACTGTAGGCCATCTCGTGGTCTTCGAGTTCCCAGAACTCCATTCCTGGGCATGATTTTGAATGCCCGGAGCCAACTGTAGGCCATTTCGTGCTCTTCGAGTTCCCAGAACTCCATTCCCGGGCCACATTTTGAATGCCCGGAGCCAACTGTAGGTCATCTCGTGGTCTTCGAGTTCCCAGAACTCCATTCCTGGGCATGATTTTGAATGCCCGGAGCCAACTGTAGGTCACTTCGTGTTCTTCGAGTTCCCAGAACTCCACTCCCGGGCCACATTTTGAATGCTGAGGCAGGCTGATGCTGAGGCTGAGGCAGGCTGAGGCTGAGGCAGGCTGAGGCTGAGGTCGAGGCTGAAGGCAGACTGAGGCTGAGGCTGAAGCAGGCTGAGGCTGAGGCTGAGGCAGGCTGAGGCTGAGGCTGAGGCAGGCTGATGCTGAGGCAGGCTGAGGCTGAGGCTGATGCAGGCTGAGGCTGAGGCAGGCTGAGGCCGAGGCTGAAGGCAGACTGAGGCTGAGGCTGAAGCAGGCTGAGGAGGCTGAGGCTGATGAGGCTGAGGCTGAGGCTGAGGCTGAGGCAGGCTGAGGCTGAGGCTGAGGGCTGAGGCTGAGGCTGAGGCTGAGGCTGAGGCTGAGGCTGAGGCTGAGGCTGAGGCTGAGGCTGAGGCTGAGGCTGATGGAGGCTGAGGCTGAGGCTGAGGCTGAGGCAGGCTGAGGCTGAGGCCGAGGCTGAAGGCAGGAGGCTGAGGCTGAAGCAGGCTGAGGCTGAGGCAGGCAGGCTGAGGCTGAGGCTGGCTGAGGCTGAGGCAGGCTGAGGCTGCTGAGGCTGAGGCTGAGGCTGAGGCTGAGGCTGAGGCTGAGGCTGAGGCTGAGGCTGAGGCTGAGGCTGAGGCTGAGGAGGCAGGCTGAGGCTGAGGCTGAGGCTGAGGCTGAAGGCTGAGGCTGAGGCTGAGGCTGAGGCTGAGGCTGAGGCTGAGGCTGAGGCTGAGGCTGATGAGGCTGAGGCAGGCTGAGGCTGAGGCTGAGGCAGGCTGATGCTGAGGCAGGCTGAGGCTGAGGCTGAGGCTGATGCAGGCTGAGGCTGAGGCAGAGGCTGAGGCCGAGGCTGAAGGCAGACTGAGGCTGAGGCTGAAGCAGGCTGAGGCTGAGGCTGAGGCTGAGGCAGGCTGAGGCTGAGGCTGAGGCAGGCTGAGGCTGAGGCAGGCTGAGGCTGAGGCTGAGGCTGCAGGCTGAGGCTGAGGCAGGAGGCTGAGGCCGAGGCTGAGGCTGAGGCTGAGGCTGAAGCAGGCTGAGGCTGAGGCTGAGGCAGGCTGAGGCTGAGGCTGAGGCTGAGGCTGAGGCTGAGGCTGAGGCTGAGGCTGAGGCTGGCTGAGGCTGAGGCAGGCTGAGGCTGAGGCTGAAGCAGGCTAAGGCTGAGGCTGAGGCAGAGGCTGAGGCTGAGGCTGAGGCAGGCTGATGCTGAGGCAGGCTGAGGCTGAGGCTGAGGCTGAGGCAAGCTGAGGCTGCGGCAGGCTGATGCTGAGGCAGGCTGAGGCTGAGGCTGAGGCTGATACAGGGTGAGGCTGAGGCAGGCTGAGGCTGAGGCCGAGGCTGAAGGCAGACTGATGCTGAGGCTGAAGCAGGCTGAAGCTGAGGCTGAGGTAGGCTGAGGCTGAAGGCAGGCTGAGGCTGAGGCTGAAGCAGGCTGAGGCTGAGGCTGTGACAGCGACTGCCGTTGCCACTGCGACTGTCATCGCGAATGCGACTACGACTGCGAGAACAGCAGAATCCTACAACTGGATTATCATCTGAATCTTAAGGGGAATGCTTCCAGATATGCTCCTACACATCGCTGTTAGGTTGCTTTGCCGGGATAATTTATACTATGTTGTTGAATATTTTCCTGTAGAGGGACGTGCCCGACTTAACACTTCCCCTGCCCTGCCCCTTCCCCTGCCCTGCCCCTGCCCCGCCCCTGCCCCCGCTTCTTGCCAGCGCTCGGGCGTCCATTCCGGGTGCTTTGCTCGGTTTCGTGAGTTTGCTGTTTTTGCTCGATAATCCAGGATGCTCCTCGCCGAACATGTGCACGCGTCCGAGCAATGCCAAGACTTCCCCCACCCTGCCCCGCGCCACCTCCCTCTTCCCCTGCCCTCTCCTGCCCCTCCCCGTCCCCCTGCCCTCCGCGTGCGTTGCCGAGGAAGTCCAGCCAGGGGGGACTGTGCGGGCCCCACAGCCCCCAGAAAGCGCCACGCAACGGAACATGGATCCCGGGGTGGGGTCGAGAGCGCCAGGGGCGCACGTCGTGAACGGATCGCGACATCCAGCTGGCCAGGCCAATCCTGGACCCAGAATCAGCCAGGCAAGGATCAGTGCGGGTGCAGGTCTAGCGTCCCCCGTTGACCTGGTACCTGTGGTCTCCGATCGTGCTCAGGCACTCACCGCTGGAGGCGGACCAGATCTTCGCCGTCCAGTCCGTAGAACATGTGAGCACCTGCTGTTCGTTGGGCGAGAAAGAAGCCTCGCGCAACTCGCGCTGGTGGCCCTGCAGGGTGCGTTCGCACCGCCCGGAGCTGACGGACCACATCTTCGCCGTGCTGTCAGAGGAAGCCGTCAACGCCATCTGCCCGTCCACTGAGAACACGGCAGAACGCACCTCTTGCCACGCCCGAAACGCAGAAACTCCGACGCCGATAGTTTCAATCCCGGCATGTCTTTTCCCCGGCTTCGGCCTCCCGGGGGCCGCTTGTGGGCCCCTGGCACCCGCAGCAGTGGGCCCATGGTGCAGAACCGGCCCCAGTGACGGGGTCGGGACGCTGGGGCCGCGTCGGATGTCCGGGAATGAACGCATCACTGCGTGAATGTGTGCTGCGAACCGTAGCCACCGAGGCTCGAATCTAGAAGTCGCACGACACCTCCTGGAGCCAGGCGGACACATTGCGCAATCACAGCTCGAAAGTTTTGTGGGAAACGTTTCTTTATTTTCGGCGATAGTGGGCATTATAGTGGGTGGGAGGGGGCCTGGGGGGGGGAATAATGTAACGCCTCCCCCCCGCCGTGTGCCCGATGCGCACGGCGGCAGTGCCCGGAGCGCATTGGGGGGTGGGTGGGGGGCAGGGGCGTTACGTTATTGGGGGAGGGGGGGTCGGAGGCTATAATGCCCATTATGCCCCCAGCAAAAAAGAAACACGCTCTTGGTATCATCGTGCCGTCCGAAATCCACAGCGGCTGCTGCGTGAGCAGACGGCGTTCGCCACTGAGAGGCGATGCGCTCTGACGCAATCGGCAAGTCCTGCCCCCCGAAATCAATCCGTGATCGCCCCCACTCGTTCCGTCCCAGTTTTCGGCTTGGGCGAAACAGGACTCGACTAGGGGATCGAGTACAGAATCTGTATACCCCCAGATTGATGTCTTCGTCGAATCTACCGGAAAACCTCACATATTTCATGGATTCGATGAAAAACAATCTGGGGGCAAAACCACGTTGTAGTCGACCCCCTTCTCGAATGATGGGCTAGCAAAGGAAGGTTAGCGAATCAGCTCACGCACATGGTCTTCCCGGCGCACCAAGGCGAGGCGCCGTTGAATCGAGTAAAACTCCTGGCGGCAGGGCCGAAACCAACTGCATGCAGCACATTTCGCACCGACCCCCTGTCCTAATCCTCCCTCGTTCGTCCGACCCGAACTTCACCGTGGAGGGCTTGACGACTTCAGCTGTCCCTCGACTCGTTCTGGAGCTTCCAAAATTTGCTCCAGATTTGCATAGATCTCTCTTTCTCTCTCTCTCTCTCTCTTTTGTCTCTCTCTCTCTCTCTCTATATATATGTATAGATATACACATACATCTTTTGCACCACGATCAGAACGTACTGGAATCAGCTTGAAGATCCGGCCCTTTCTGCCACGGCGGTCACCGCTCATAGCACGGCCCCCCCTGTAGTCCGCTGTGCTTCATCCCGCGGCATGTTGCTACCTGGGAAGTCCTTCGGCTCCGCTGCTACTGGCCCTGTCGCCCCCCTCTGCCCCGTTGGTCTTCGACCCCCCGCGCAGCAACCGCTGCCCCGGCCCCCAGGCGCGGGCGCGACGCCGCCCCGTGCCCGTTGCCGAGGGCGCAGCACCGGCCACGCCGCCCTGGACGCCCCGCTGCGGCCCCCGCTGCGTGAGCGCTTTAGTTTTTCCCCCGCCCTGCGGCCGCCCCCCTCTGCCCCGCCCTCCCTTCCCCTCTTGCATCCGGGCAATTCGCAATGTCGTCACCAGGCTTGCCCCAGCGCGCGCGGACTGCCTCTGCGCGCTGCATCGTAAAAAACGGCCCAAGAACTGCTCCAGCTAGCGACCGCTGAACCAAATTGAGCCAAGGTCGCTGGCAGCTTGAACGTCGGCAAACATGGCGGAGACGCCGGGCCTTGGCTGGACTGGGTCGGTGCTCCCCTGTCAAGCCGTCGATCACGAAGCCCAGGGCGGCCTCATCCTCCTCGTGGACCTCGAGCGAACTCATCCTCTGCTTGCAGTCCTGGCGAAGGGAGTCCGCCAAGACTGGGCTAGCCGCTGCAACCGCGAAGCTGTCGCAACCTGGGGAGCGCCATCTTGGGCCCGGCACGGAAGGGGGGCGGCGGCGCTCGGCCACGCATCACCGCACCTGTAACCCAATTTCTGAGCTGGCTGACCTGGTGCGCGCGCAAGACTTGCGCGAAGGAAACGCTCCATGTGTGGCCCACCAGCGTGACCTTCATGGCTGGGGCGATGGCGTCGACGTGCCAGTGATCGCCGATGGCGGGATCTCCGCTGGCCATGGGCTTCGGCTCGCTGCTGGCGATGTCGGGCAGGCAGAAGAAGTTCGAAAACCCAGGCGGGAGCTCGCCGGCGCAGACACAATCCTTCACGTCGCTCACGGGTACATACATGTCAGCGTCCGAGTCCATCACAAGGTCGGCCCAGGAACTCCCCAAGTCCATCGGCGCATGTGGACATTCACGAAGGCGGGCACTGACGCGCCTGCAGTCTGTCAGGAGACGCTACTTGCCCGACTTCTGTCGTGCAAGCAAATGCTGATATCCTGCCTCGAACATGGCAGGCACGTCGCCCGTCGAGTAACCCACCTCTGAACAAGTCTCCGATGAAATTGATGTAGCTGCGGGGGCTGAATCGGAGCCGCGGTTCAAAGGCCGATCTGCGCGAGACCCTGCCCCACCTCAACCCCCCACAGGCTGTCACCCCTGCGCAGAGTGGTGCCAAAATCTACGATCATCTTCGCGGCGTCTGGCGGCAACACCATGGCCAGGGAGGCAGAGGTCCGCCCGTCGCTAGGGGGCGGCACCAAGGCGCGGTCGCAGGGCACCGCCGTCAAGTCATCGTCCCCCGCGTAAGGGGCCAGTCTCCCGAGAAGCGCACTCGTGGCTTCCTCGTCAGAGACCGCCTCGGTGGGCGGCCGAGAAGAGTTGATGGTGTCATAGAGGTGGTCGATGGTGGGATGCTGCCCAGTCGACGAAAACTTTGTGCTGGGCGTGGAAGTCCCCGCGGGCCAATTGAAAGCTCAGATGCCCTCGTTCACCTCGTCATTGGGGCGCCACCGAGCCTGAGCACGCGGACGCACGCCACGAAAGGGATGAGCACCAGCAGCAGGCCCCTGAGGAACATGCGGCAGCGGAAGAAGATCTCGCGGGACATCGCGCTCTCCAGCGACGCCTTCAGCGAGGCAGCCCAAGTGAGATGCCAGGGGCGCCCCCGGCCCCCCTTCGGGCCGCAGAAGGGGCCGTCGTCATTCATCACGATTGATCGCCGCCCTGGCCCTCCTTCTTGGGGCCGCGGGCGGTCTCCTCACACGCAACCCGTCGCGTTTCCGCAGCTACTTGTAGACCGAAGCCTTGTCACTAGCATTCTCCGCGATGTGCTTCACGAGATCACGCGCCACTGGGGCCTTGCCACGGCCTGGCCCCCAGCCCAGGAAGTCGCCGGCCCATGCGTAGTCGGGGATGCCTGGAGAGTTGCGGTGCGCCTGCTCGATCAGCATGGCGCGCCTCCTGAGAACATCTAGAGATACCAGAGTGGGGATGTTGAGCTGGCCGACCTTGGCCGCCAACTCAAAGACCCTCGTGGTGCAGAGGTGCTCGTGGACCGAGCGGTCGCCGCCCGAGTGGAATACTGGGTCCAATTGTAATGACGCTGCTGCATGGTTTCCCCCGGGGCCGTAGGCGAGCCGAGGACGACGAGGAGGAGGAGAAGGAGGAGGAGGAGGAAGATCAGTGCAAACCCAAGAGTCATGAACGATGTTGGAATTAACCGTCCCTTCAAGTTCCCTCTTCTTAGGCCCCCACAGCGGTTCATCTCCATTGAAGGAACTGCCTCGCTGGAAAACAACCGTTTGAAGACCCTGATGCATGCCAAAACATGGTTCTTGGGATTCCAACGCCACGTACCAACCTGACTGCTGCGTGTTGGCGCTCCGGAATCGTGCCAGAGCGCCATTTGTAGGACTGCAACACCGCGAATCAGTATAACTGTTGCGCCCGCATAATCTTGAATCCTTCCATAACATCATTTGTGGTAGGCTGATCATGGGAACCCGTGAAACTCTGGCAAATTTTGAAAACGAATGTGCGCGGCGCTAAAGCGAGATCCACATTTTGAACACGACCAGCCTCAATCCGTGAAGTTCCTGCAAGGTTTGAAAACGAATGCTCGCGGCGCTAAGGCGAGATTCACACTTGAAAACGACCCGCCCTCAACATGTGAAACTTTTGCAATGTTTGAATATTTTTGAAAACGAATGTGCGCGGCGTTAGAGCGAGGACCACCTTTCGAAAATGACCCGCCCTCAAGCCGTGAAACTCTTTCAGATTTTGAAAACGAATGCGCGCGCCGCTAAGGCGAGAACCACAATTTAAAAACGACCCGCCTCAAATTCGAGAAGCTCTTGCAAATTTTGACATCGATTGTGCTCAACCAGGGAAACTCTTGCAAATGTTGAAAACGAATGTGCACGGCGCTAAAGCGAGAGCCACATGTTGAAAAGGGACCGCTCTCAATCCGTGAAGTTCTTGCAAATGTTGAAAACGAATGTGCGCGGCGCTAAGGCGAGAGCCACATTTTGAAAACGGCCCGCACTCCATATGTGAAGCTGTTGCCACTTTTAAAACTTCAGAGTCATGAGCGGTGAGGAAGTTTCAAGCGAAACGCCTGGCCCGCCCTAGTCATCTGTAAGGAGAAGGAATGGAGGAGGAGGAGGAGGAGGAAGAGGAGGAGGAGGAGGAGGAGGAGGAGGAGGAGGAGGAAGGGGGAGGAGGAGGGAGGATTGAGCAGGAGTAGGAGGAGGAGGGGGAGGAGGAGGAGGAGGAGGAGCAGGAGGAGGAGGAAATGGAGGAGGAGGAACAGGAGGACGGGTCGCCTGAGCCCTTCGGAGAAACCCTCCAGACGCTGCACGGCCCACCCACCTCCACTGTGGGCGATCTCGTGCAAGAACCAGAGCATGGAAGCGCCCCTTCGAGCGGAGAGACGCCGTGGTCGCGGTGTTGCACCAGGTCGACCGCCTCCGCGAAGCGCCATCGACGAGCACTGCTCCACCACGCCACCGGGAGGGTCCGCGTGTCGGCATCGTCGCAGATGGCATCCGCTACGACCGAATAGCACTGCACCGCGCCGTTGGGGGTCTTCCACCGCCAGTGTCGGACCGCCCCTTTGAGCAGCGAGGAACAGTGACCAGCACCAGGGCGATGCTCAGCACCACGAGCGAAGGCCTGATCCGAAGAGATCCGAAGAGCAGGAGATCCTCCAGACCTTGCGGGCGGCGGCGACTGGAGAGCCCCGGGGCACCGAGCCTGTCCCCGTTCCCCGTTCCCCCCGTCCTTGCGCTCCTCGCCGTCGGCGACGGCGCGGGCGCTGAGGACGAGCGGCAAGTCGAGCGGCCCGTTACCACGGCCCGCATGAAAGACAGGACGAGGTCCAGCGTCGGACCTCGGCCATGCATGGGGCCAGTCACCTCCCCGTCGGCATCGAGCAAGCGGAGCGCGTGCAGATCTCGCAGGGTACATGTGGCCGCCGCCCGTCAATGCCCACCAAAGCCAAATGTTCGCCAGCGGGTCCTCCCCATGGATCCTCTTGTCGCTCGCGACGAAGCTCTTCCAGAAGATACTTAGTATCTTCTGGAAGAGCTTCGAGCCAGAGGTCCGGTTCGCAACACCTTGAGCCCTGAGCGGAGGGCAGGCTGTGCGGCAGCCGCGGCAGCCATCTGCGCAGCAGCCCGGCAACGAGAGGAAGAAGCCAATCACTACGTTGAGATGAGTAGGAGGCGACACTCCATGCGATGGCTGTCGCGACCTCCACGTACCCAGGGACCCCTCCTGATGAGGTCCTCGGTGACCCATCGGCCCCTGACCTCCGCCGCACGCACTCGGAGCGCTGCGCCTGGAAATCATCCAGCACCTCCGAAAGGAACCGCCCGACACACCGATCCAGGCCCGCTGCGGCGAGTGTTCGAACCACGCGCCGGTGCTGGCCGCGAGGAGGAGGCGCTGTGCTCCCTGCAGAGGCATCCGAATCCTGGAAATACTTGGGCAGCACGTTTGCGGACCAGAGAGGCTGGTTAGATGTTCTTAAACACCTGAGGACATGAGAGAGAGAGAGAGGGAGCAAACGAGCAGTTTAGAGCGTTTCGTCTCAGACGCAAGACGGCCCAGGTTCCAGGAGTAAACCCTTACAGTAGATGTATAATGTTACCTCTAACTAGCTGGATGTGCTTCAGTGTATGGACATACCTCGATTTACCTAGATCTATCTAGCTTGATCCCCACAGCAAGTCGATTGGAGAAGCGTCGTCAAACCCTCGAGGATTTCGGCCCTCTCAGGCCTCGTCCTGGTGGCCCCTGAGCGTGCACGCGCACTCCCAGGACTCCCCGGACCAGGACCAAATCCTTGCCGTCTGGTCGACGGAGGCCGTCAACACCCGCAACCCGTCCTGGGAGAAGACGGCGGACACCAGGCCGCCCTGGTGTCCATCGAGCGTGCTCATCGGCGGCGCGCCGAATGGGGAAGTGAGGGGCCACAGGCCCCTTCGCAAGGCGGCGGGGCCTCTCAGAAGCCCGCTGGCCTTCCTCCTCCTCCTCCTCCTCCTCCTCCTCGTCTTCCTCCTCCTCCCCCTCCTCCCCCCCCTCCGTAGCCATTTTGGCTCAAGTCCGTAGCGTTGGCTCGGACTTGACATTTTGGCAGGAGGGAACCGACGGCCCTCACCGCTCCCGCACCTCCCCAGTGCCTGCCCAGGCTGGAGGTGCCGCTTTTCTCACTACGCATTCCACGCTCGGGACCGTACCTCCCCCGATTTTGCTCTGTTTCCAGACACTGACTCATGGCGGATGGCGGACGCATGCCGAAGCTTGGTTCCCGCAAGGCATGGGCCGCGCCGTGGCTACGCCGATGGTGTGTTCATCCACGGACAGGTGAGAAGTGGTGGAACAGAGGCGACCTCAATGCTTGCTCAAGTTGCCAGTGCAACAAAGGTGCTGCTTTTGGAGGCCCCAAGCCTCTGCGGACGGCGCCGAGTTTCAGGGCCCCAGCCTTGGGGCGAGATAGGCAGAGGCAGAAGGCAGCAGTCTCCAACTGTGCAGTCGAGAGAGACAAGCAGCTGAAGGCCAAGGACCTTGAGATTGCGAAGCTTCGAGAGCAAGTTCTGGCGGCAAAGAATGGGCAAACATTGGACACGGACACCAGTGACAAGACCGACGCCGACCAGAAGCGCCTCAATGAGATCAGCCAGACCCTTAGGGCGCTGGGCAACCTCACGGAGCCTGCTGTGGTGGCGGCGCAAGAGCAGTTGGAAGCCGAGCGCACGGCGATCAAGTCTAAGATCGTCAACAGCAAGCCGCACTCCGCCCAAATGCACCACTACACCACTCGCATCGACGAGCTGCTCAAGAGCAGGTTGCAGCAGGAGGAGACACTGGCAGATCTGGAGATCCAGAAGGTGGAGCTCGAAGCCAATATTGACGGCGTCAAGAAGTCGATTCACACACTGGCTACTGACATCACTGAGCTGGAGCATCAGCGATTTGCGGTCTCGGCACAGCTGCCGACGCCTCTTCCAGAATCGTACTCTCTCAAGACCATGGTGCCTGCCCTGGACATGCCAGTCGACAAGCTCGGCCAGCTGTTCGAGTCCGCAGGGGCCGACGCCACCCTCCTTGACCAGGCCAAGTCCACGTTCGAAGCACTTCGACAGCTACAGGCAAGAGCCGGTGCAGCCAAGGCCTCCTCAGCGTCTGCACGACAACAAGCTGACGAATCAGGACCGCCAGGCCAATAGCCTGGGGGGTCCCAAGGACCTGACCGAGCTGCCAAACAAGATGAAGCCGTGCGAGTTCCCGTTCCAATGGATACTGATGATATTAGTAGCTTGCGTCAATTCTTTCAAGCATGCACTGATGAAGAACCACCTGAGGACGACGACAGTGTGCGTGAGATGTGCAAGCGATATGCTGAAGCTGCTGAAGCATTGGCCAAGCGGCGCAAGACACAATAAGGGCTGGGCCGTCCGACCACAGCTCTATCTCCTCCTCATGTTGAGCTCGGTGCAGCTTTGGAAAAGGAAAAAAAACGTAAGTCAAGGACGCAGCGCACACGGAGTTTGCAGCGAGCGACGTGTGCCAACAAGAGGTATACGACTGCCTCGACCCAGCCGCAGTCGGAAGGTCAGAGTCGTCAGGTTCGCTGGCATCATACATATGACTACGATGTGCGTGCTGGATTTTCTTCAATGGGAAGCTCAGGGCGTTTGCAACGAACAACGTGGGCTTCCTTTACCGATGTCAGAACGGGCGTTAGAACGCACGTTGCGGCAAGGCGTTAGATCGCAAAGTCCTGCAGGCCAGGTTCGGCAAATGCAGGCTCAGCCGCCGCGTGCTGGGCAAAATCACACACCCAGGTGCTCCTCGAGCCTGGGCAGGGTTTTTTCGTCGCCAGTCAGAGCGCAAACTCCTGCTGGCCAGTTTTGGCAATCGCAGGCTCAGCCGGCACGCGATGGAACAAATCCCATGTCCAGGTGTTTATTGAGCCTGGGATGGGCTCACACGCAGCCACTTGCAGGATTGGCAAGGTTTATTATGCGGCTGGTGGTCTTTAGTGACGTCTACTTCACGTACCTCTGCATCAGGTGGATCGCGATGTACGCTGGGAAAAGAGCCAGGATCTACCACGCGAGCGTGAGGTCTAACATCAGATGCAGGCCAAATGCCATCCCCAGTCCCAGCGCCGCCCCTGCCATCGATAGAGGTAGGATTCAGACGGATGAATCGGGCCCTGGGGCCGAAGTCCTGGTGAGGACTGCTGGTCAGACGGGCCCTGGGTACCACAGGGCCAACAGACCTCGCAAGGGCCCCAAAACGCTGAGACATCCAAGTTCACCCTCGGACCATCAGGAAGGGCCAAACCAGAGGACGGTCAAGGGCCTCAGCTGCAGATACATGCGCCTCATCATGGTGGTGACCTGCGCCATGGAGTTTCAACTTGCGAAGGGTACTGCAGTACAAAGGCCAACAACTCCAGAGAAGGCCTCTGTTACAATGGCCAATCCTGACTCGTCGTGCAGCAGGACCGTGATCTCGATTGTGACGGCCAATGTGACATCGCATGGGCCGCTAATTGACATGTTAAAGTTGCCGTGGGCTCAGGCATGTGTAATACGCACACAAGAACACCATGCAGACCAAGGGCGACTCGCAGACGTCCAGCATCAAGCAGCTCGAGCAGGATTTGCAGGCCTATGGGCCCCAGCCCCGCAGTCAGCCAAAGGAGGAACGCATGGAGGATTGGCCATCCTGGCACCGACCAGGGTGCGCGTGACCCTCGCTCCAGGGAGGTCTTCAGCCGAATTGATTCCAGGCAGGGCCCTCGCGGCCCACGTGCACTGGGGCATCAAGCATGGCATCGCCATGATATCAATCTACTTGCACGATGGCCAGGACCTCTCGGACGCCAATGTGGAGATTCTTAGGCAGGCCGCCATATATATATATATATATATATATATATATATATATATGTATGTATATATGTGTGAGCTCGAGGCCCGAGAGCAGCCTTGGCTGCTGGCGGGAGACTGGAACATGCACGTGGATGACCTGCGGCATTGGCTCAACTCCATCGAGGGCATTGTCACCCACCCCAATTGCCCCACATGCCTGCAGGCGAAACCTGGAACCATGTACGACTACATGTGTATGCATCCGAGGGTTGCGGGTCGCGCAGGCAGGGCTCTTGTGCATGAAGACTCGGACTTGTTTCCACATGTGCCGGTCAGAGTTCCAATGCAGGATGCAGAACATGAGATGTGGGTTCGAGTGCCAGATCAGCCTGCGTCCGTTGACACGATACCAAAGCCAGGATGCGCGAGATTCCCGACCGTCGCTGAGTGGGACATGGCCAGGGAGCTCATTGCTAGGGCCGGCAACGCTAATAACCTCGCCGAAGCCTGGGATGCGGTCCTGACGCAGATAGAAAAAGAAATGTTAGACAGGCATGATATCATAGGCCACGACCGAGCACGTTACCTGGGCAGAGCGGGGCCCCCAACTTGGTCTTGGAAGAAAGTGGCCCCACCCGAACACAACCCATCTCAGAGGCTCCAGGCATACAAGTTGATTGGGCGTTGGTTTCGGCACATGCGAGCTATGAAGTTGAGGATGATCCTGGCTGTGGAAAAACTCCAAACAGATGTAGAAGTACCAGGTAAATTTCCTCGCCACATGCTTCCGACGCACCACACTACTGATGATTATTCAAGCTGGGCACGCTCCCTATCTACCTTCCGAGCATACGACGCTGCGCTCGGCATGACCGATGACATGGTTGCCAACGACAAGGAGCTCAAGCTATTTGTTAAGCTAGCATGGGACCTCCAGGGTTTCTTCCACAGAGCTTCTAAAGCAAAATGGATCATGCAGCACCTAGACGAGGATGAACGCGCTCGAGTCCGCGACCTTTCTCACCAGTTCTGCTGCGACGAGTTTCTTGATACTGCACAGTTCGTCATAGACAAAGTGGAGAGAGTGGTCCAAGCTATAGGAGCATTCAAAACGGCAGAATGGACGGAGTGGGCAAAGGCATCTTTCAACAATGGAGCGAGACAGGCGCACCGTTTCTCGAAGCTCAGGGACCTGCAGGAAGTGCTCGAGCACACCCAGCAGCCGCAGCCATCCGAGATGGCAGATTCCTGCATGGATACCTGGGCTGAGATCTGGGCCACACATGCCTCAATACGACTGAAGTTGCCACCTGACTTCTCGACATGGAGCCAGCTTCCAGAAGTCAGAGTGGAGGACCTGCGCACTACTTGGACACGTCAACCTTAATCCCAAGGCGATGGACGTTGTATCAGACGATGGTCTTCAGACACTTCTACTCCTCTTGCAGGCGTGCGAGAGGCTATGCTGCGGGCCAGATAAAAGGGTACAGACACGCCTTGCTCGATTGCCAAAAGCATCAGGAGGACACCGACTGGTGGCATTGATAAATACGATTGTGCGTATATGGGCCCGACTCCGCAGACCTATTTCGAGGAGATGGGGGCGCGATAACCAGAGTCCTGACTTCTGGGGAGCGAGGCCTGCTGCAGCATCATCAGATTCAGCTTTCTCACGCAACCTGCAAGCAGAAGTTGCACGATACAAAAGACACACGTCAGTAACAGTGTTGGTTGACATGTACAAGTGTTCCGAGATGATCAAATTGCAGAAGCTAGTTGACTTCGCCCACGCGCTGCGATACCCACTACGACTCCTCTGGCTTATCTTAGCCAACTACCAATGTCCACAAGTGGTACGAGCGTGGGGGTCGATTTCCTATGAATATGTACCTTTTCAAGGCATCCTAGCAGGATGTACACACGCGACAACGATGGTCCACTTGTTATTGCACCAGCTTCTACTTCGAATGAGGGACCTCTACGGCACAGTCGTGCCTCGCATGCTCATGGGCGACGCGGGATTTCAATGGGCGGGAGTGGACCCCAAACAAGCCAAGGTTTTGTTTGCGGCGGTCAAGTACTTTACGCAGGGTGCTTTTGAGCTGGGATTGGTTACCCAAGCGGCTCAGAGTGGATGTGTGGCGACAAATGCGGCTGCCAAGAAAGTAACCACGCCTTTCGTCAAACGACTCAGGATGAAGATGTATCCTCATATGCGGAACCTCGGACATGATCTTTCTGGGCCCAAGGCCAAACGAGTGATTGAGAAGAAAAGGATGGCTGGATTTATGGCTAGGAAACCCAAGCTTCGCGCCCTTGTGAGAGGCGCAAACCACAGAGTCCGAACCTTGTGGAGAACAGGACTGCTACCAGCTGCCGCACATGGAGCAGGGGTGGGTGGCACCACTGATGCCAACCTCAACTCACTTCGATCTAGTGCGGCTGCACTCGCGGGAGCGCGCCAACACGTGCCTATCACAGCTTGGCGTTCCACACAGGCGGATGAATACTACGACCCGATATACGACGCGACGATATTGCTAGTTGTCAGATTTGCCAGCACGATATGGGGACAACAGATGTTCAGTTGCCGACCTTCAGAGAGCTTTCTTGGTCATGAAGGGTGAATCTGGAAATAAACTCACATGGGCCAAGTGCCATGGACCCATGAGTGCGACTCTGCTGTCGCTTTCAAGAATTGGCTGGGCTATGATTTCTGCGCACCAAGTCGTCGATGATAGAGGAACAATGAATTCACTGCTGCACACGCCGCCCATGGAGGTCAGGAGACTGCTGCAGGAGTCCATAGGAAGATGGCAGATGAAACACATACTGGCGCATATTCCTGAAGCATTTGGTTCTGAAGAAGTATGGCGGCGAGGCCTCAGACTTGCAATACTACGCATCAAGGACGATGTCAGGAGAGGCTGTGCGCGGCTACTACTGGGTTCAGGGTGCTGGCCGCCATCGAGGAAATGTGCTGCAGGATATCGAGTGGCGCCCGCCTGTGATTTTTGCCCGAACCCCAACGCTACGCTAGGGCACCAGCTGTACCAGTGCCCACTTTTAACCCAGCCCCCAGAGGATCTTGATGTTGAGCCCCTTCCTGATGACATTATAGAACACAGAGAAACTTTAAGGGACTCGGGGTACTCGGGACTACAGGCTGACTGGGACACTCTGGAGCTTGCGTATGGGCTCCCTTTTTATTCCCTCAGTGTACCAGAGATCCCCGAGGCTCCCACGGTTCATTGGGGTGCAACGACGGGACCCTGGGGCAGGCGTATCTATACCGACGGTTCAGGGCTTGCGAACGCAAGCCCAGAACTTAGACGGTGTGGATGGGCTGCCGTCGAAGTGGACCAGTGGGGCGTGCCCCACAGGGCTCTCTACGGGCCTTTGCCTGTGCGCCAGACGGTGCCCCGCGCCGAGAGGTACGCGGCGCTGCGTGCGATCGAAGTTGCACCCCAAGGGGCCGAAGTGGTCACTGACCACCTCCAGCTCGTTCACGAAGGGTGCTCATGGGATCCAGATCTGGCGGCTGCCCGTAATGTGCACGCAGATATATGGCGCAAGATTTTCGAGCTTCAAGGCGAAGGCCTACAAAGGCCAAGTTTCCGTTGGGTCCCAGCGCACCGAGAGCCAGAGGAAATACTTTCGTGCACGAGCTCAGACATCCAAGACTACCTTGGAAATGTATGGGCAGATTTTTGTTCGCCAGACTAGGGTCGAGTATGCACCAGGTTCCAGATGTTTATGTCAAGGCCGAGAAGGCCCAGATTAAAAGGCATCAGCTAACCTGGGATTTTTTAGCGAGGGCCACCCAGATAGTTAGCATTGTGGGAGATCAGGCTGAAGTCCCGCAACCGCCCCCCAGGCAGGCCCCCAGCACAGCGCCGAGGCTCTCGCTCTCACAGCACGAACTTTGTTATGTTGAAGCTCGCGGCGAATGGAGATGTAGGCGCTGCAACATGGCAGCGACCACCGACCAGACCCTTAAGGGTCTGCGAACGGGGGGAAGTCGTGAATGCAGGCCAACGGCCATTCAGCAGTGGCAGGCCAAAATGTTTTCTTACAAACTAGCAGAGCAAGGCCTGGCTGCCGCGTCAGACTCGACGGCCGCAGCGGGGCCTGCCCTGGAGCTTGCAAGCACGATCCTTGGGCCCCTGCCAGGAGTCTCCTCCTTCGAGCCTCCTGTCGACCTGGGGCTCACCTCTTCCTATGCCTGGTCCAGGGGCCCCTCGGGATCGGACGCAGAATACCTCAGACTTTTTAGCGACCTCCAGCACCGACCTGTGCGCAATGGGAGAATAATTATCTGCCTTGACTGTGCGTGCTTTTTGGTGCTACCCGATGGCTGTTGTCGGGGACTAAGACGGACGTGCCGAGGTGTCTCGCAGGTGCAGACGACACGCATTGGTCACCTCAGAAAGCTTGCTCGTGCTGAGAGTGCCCGACATCCAGGCACTGGTATACAGCTCGAGATCAGGCCCGAATCTCCCGACCGTGCTAGCGCCACCGCCCAGTGCTCTTCTGTTCCTGCTGCCGCGGCAGCTTTGAGCATCGTTGAGGGTGGTGGTGCTGGGGAGGTTGACTCGGGCTCATCTGACTAATTTCCTCGGGGCCGCGCATTTGTGTGGCCCACTTCCATATCCTGGCAATATTTTGCCCTTCGTCGGCCCGTGCCGCAATGTAGCGGCCGCGCTCTGCGGCGCCTGGTTTGCAAGCGCCACCCTTCGGAGCCCGGCCTGGCGCCCTTACGGTCGCCGTATTCTAGCAGGAGGGTAGGCATCTCTGCCCACCCTCCCGCGATCCCCCATCATGTGCTGCAGCTATCGATTCGACTGCTGCCGCTGCACCGCTTCCCGCTTCCCCTCCTCGTCCTCCTGATCCTGATCCTGATCCTGATCCTGATCCTCCTCCCCTTCCTCCTCCTCCTCCCCCTCCTCCTCCTCCTCCTCCTCGGAGAAGACCTGGAGAACTTCTCGGAGGGCCGGAGGCCTTCCGAGCCTTCTGACAAGGTCCGGCGGCCCGCCCCCTCTGCCTGCCCTCGCTGCACCCACCTTGCAGACGTGCTGCAGCGGATTTCTGCGTGCGGGTTTCTGCCAGGGCAGGGCCCCGAGACGGCGAGCGAACAACGATGTGAACTTCACGTGGATTTTTGTTTGGTCTTCATTCCTGGCCAACAAAAACCCGCACGAGATTCACTTCGAAAGCCGGAGCGAAATTCTCCAGGACTCTCTGGGCCCACCCTATCGTTTTCCGAACGAAATCCGCTCTGCGATGTTGGCGCCATAATCTTCCCTCCTGTGCGCGCCGCCGAGATAGGGCGGTCCCCGGAAGCGACCGACCACAGTTTCGCCGTCCGGTCCAGAGAGGCCGTCAGCGCCCACCGCCCGTCGGGCGAGAAGGTGGCGGACACCACGGAGTCACCGTGGCCCTCCAGCGTGCGCAGGAGCTTGCCGGTGGCGAGGGACCAGATCCTCGCCTTCTGATCCTCTCGGGGGCGCGCAAACACGGATTAGCGGTCCATGGAATTGGCGCGCGGTCGCCAAATCCATGGATCGGGAGAGGTGCCCTCCCCAAAATGCGGCCAGTGCCATCTCGCTCGGCAGGGGAAACTCGCGATTTCCCATGGAAACGGGACTCGTCGCTAATCCACGCCCCTTGATCCATGTTTGCGATCGCCTGATCCTCGGAGGCCGTCAATACCAGTCCCCCGTCGGGTGAAAAAGTCGCAGACTGCACCGCGCCATCGTGGGCCTCCAGCTTGCACGAGCACTGATACTCGCTGGGCCCACCCGAATAGATCTCAACCAGGTCGGCGTGCGCAACCGCTACGCGAAGCTCCCTCGTCACCACGAGCGTCAAGCTGTTGCCGTCCTGTGCCCCGATCTGGGCCAGCGTCGCATCCCCGCGCAGCTCCACGGCGCCGAGGAAGACGCGCCAGCTGCCGCTGGCCAGGCCCGGCTCCGATGTCGCCTCGAGCACATGGCGCAAGCACCACCACGGCTGTGCGTCAAGCGTCCCGACCTCGCGCCCACTGCACAGGGAAACAGTCACGCGCATGCCGCGCACTTGCAAGATAGAGGGGCGTCCAGGGGCACCAACTCGATCACCTATAAGGGGGACCTGGCCTTACGAGTCCTGGGCCCAGGGCGGGGCCTGGCCAGGAGCCACGCGATCTGACGTCGTGAATCACGCCGGCGTGACACATCGCGACCAAAGCTCACGGCCCCATCTTTCTGCGTCTCTGTTTTTTGGCGCTGGATCGATCCGTGAGGGATCTGGGGCTCGAGGTGTGGCGAAAAGTTGCCTTTCACCAGCCGAAGAGCTGGGAATGTCTTATGATGAAAGGCGCCCTGTTGGTGACATGCGTGAGCAAAAACGCGGATACTATGCATGGGGAACAGCACGCATACAACATAGGTGCATAAAAGGGCACGCACTGCACACGGCGAGATTGTACATGACTACCTACCAGACCACCCCAACCCAACCCGAAGACCCGAATTTGACCCGAATTTCGGGTTGGGGGGGGTACGGATTCCATGTGTTTTTTCAATGTTCCCCGACCCCCCCCCACTGGAAATCGAGGATAAATTTGGGCCTTCGGGTTGGGTTGGGGTGGTTTGGTGGGTGGTGAGTACAACGAGCCTGCACTCTAGGAAGATCAGACGACAAGCGTAAAGAGCAGACGAGATACGTGATAGCTTGAATTAGCCGGCCCAACGGGCCAGAGGCGTGCTAAGATCTCCGGTAACTGGTTCACAATTCTTCTAGTTCGGGCGCGCGGGGCGGCCCCTGGGGGTCCCCCGGCGAAAAGTTCGCCGACCGCAGCCCGGGAAGGTCCCGGGAAGGTCCCGGGAAGGTCTACTCAGAGATGGTTTTCCTCCTGGGTACGGCCTCTCAGGCCCCCCAGAGCGCGCCAAGAGGGCCCCAAGAGGCCCCCAAGACTGCCCAAGAGGCCCCCGAGACGCCCAAAGGGCGCTCCAAGACGCCGAAGATGATCCCAAGACGGCCCAAGAAGCCGCCAAGACGCTCTAAGTGGCCTCCAAGAGGCCTCACAAGAGCGCCCCGAGAGGCCAGAATCATCAATTTCACGATGGTTTTGGAAGGATTTTGGCCTTGTCGCATTTTCGGCTTTCCGATGCTCCAAGACGGCCCAAGAGGCCCCCAAGAGCGCACGAAGACGGCTCAAGAGGCCCCCAAGAAGGCCCCCAGAGAGCCCAAACATGCCCAAACGGGCCCCGAGACGGCCCAAGAGACGCCCAAGACGGCCCAAGAGAGCCCCAAGACGGCCCCAAGAGGGGCCCAAGATGGGCCCAAGATGGGGACCACAAACCGAAACCTCAAGCCTTCCGCCCCAAGAGGGCCCCAGGAGGCCCCGAGAGGCCTCCAAGATGGCCCAAGATGCCGCCAATAGGCCCCCAAGAGACCCCAGGAGGCTCCAAGGAGGCTCAAAAGAGGCCCTACAAGGCTTCAAAAATGTCTCCCAGGCGCCCCCGAACGGCCTCTCAACAAACCCCAGGGCCTCCCAAAGAAGCATCTGGACGACGGCCCTGTTTGGCCCCAAGAGCGCCGCAAGATGCCATCGAGAGGCTTCCTCCTCCGCCCTTTTCTCTTCCTCCTCCTCCTCATATTTATCTTCATCCTCCTCCGTTCCTTCTCATCCTCTTCTCCTCCTCCCCTCCCCCTCCCCATCCTCATCTTCCTCCTTCCGGCGGCGCCGAAATGGCCCCGAGCCCGCGCCGAAGCAGTAGCGATCATGCAATACGGGCCGGCGGAGTGAGCGAAGCGATTGAATAAACGAACGCATATATTTGCGTCACAACACATACAACGAACGGGCACAGCCGACAGACACCAAGCAAACACACGCACACTTTGCAACGATATGCGCCCCAGAACTATACTGATACAAGCGTAAACTGCATACACATGCACATACTCCTGGCAGAAAGAAGAATTGCGAATTACGGATCCAACGGCTAGGCACACAAACGACGGAAACAAGGAACAGCACAGATGTACAGAACACGCATAGCGCTGACAGAAATAACATACGCACACGAGGAGCATATTGAAGGCCAGACAAACAGGGGCACAGGGACAGACACAAAGAACATACGGAGCAGACCAAACAAAAGCACAAAGAAAATAACATGAATCCATAACTGCATGCGCAAAGGGCATCGACCACGGATGCTTTCTTAGGACAGGCACAACTGACGAACGTAGAGGACACATCTCGAAACCATACGCTGCCGTGCCCTCGTGGGGATCGCTCGAAGACAACGTCCGGACCTGAGGAGTCGGCGAACGTGGATGGTTGAGTTGGTGCCCCCGAGGATAGTGACAAACTTTGTCGCCTACATGCTGAGAGCCGACGTGGCAGCGAGTGGAGGCGCAGCGCGAGGCGACGAGGGCGGAGAGAAGCGGGCGAAGAGGAAGAAAGAAAGAAGTCGTAGATCGATGCGTCGATGCGTGCGCCCAGCTGGCCTGGGCCCAGCGTCGATGCGTGCGCCCTCCTGGCTCGGGCAGGGATGCGAACGTCCAGCTCCCGGGCCGCGATTCGGAATCGGCAGGACCCCCGTGAAGACATGCAGGGCACAGCTGGCGTTTTCCAAGGAGGCTCCCGCGGCCTCACGATCACCCCTCACGAGGACCCGCGGGGGCGGGGGCTCCAGAATAGAGCGAGAAGCCGGGGACACCTGGCTCGAATCGAGCGGGTCATCGGAATACCTGTAGCTATCGTCACTTTGGGGCTCCTGACCTGACTCCTGAGGATGTCTCGAGCGGGAGCCTGAGGAGGAGGAGGAGGAGGAGGAGCAGGAGGAGGAGGAGGAGGGTCTGTGAGCGACATGCATCCTGAGGAAGCGTCGAGCGGGAGCCTCGTCTGGGAGCGAACGGCGAGGAGACCTCGAGCAGGTGCCGCCTCCCTATGGGGCTCCCACCCCCATGTCCCATGTTCTGAACCCAAGCGGATCGGGTCATCGGAAGACGTGTACGCGTCGTTCATTTCTAATCGTGCTCATTCCTAATCGTGATCATTTCTAACTGTTCCTGGCCCCCTAGCGGCCAGGAAGAAGCCCAGGATAAAACAATTAGAAATGAAAGGATCTTGGCCCCCAGAGAAGATCAAAAAACTCTCGAAGAATTAGAAATGAACAATGTGTGAGGTCACCGCTTTGGGTCCTCTGTTGGTGAAGCGCGAGGAAGTCTCGAGCGGGAGCTTCCTCTGTTTGGGGAAGCGCGAGGAGGTCTCGGAGCGGGAGCCCCCCCTCCTGTCATGAGTCATCCGACCGACGGCTTGCTCCGGCTTCGTCAGCCAGCACCAGAGGACGAGGAGCAAGGGGATGAGGAGGCATGAGAGGTGAGGAGGAGGAGGAGGAGAAGGAGGAGGCGGAGGAGAAGGAGGAGGAGGAGGAGGAGGAGGAGCAGGAGGAGCAAGGGGAAGAGGAGGGGAGGAGGAAACAGGAGGAGGAGGAGGTAAGGTGGTAAGAACGCGGGAAACCGAAGAGGAGGAGGAGGAGGACGAGGACGAGGATGAGGAGGAGGAGGAGGAGGAGGAGGAGGAGGAGGAGGAGGAGGAGGAGGAGGAGGAGGAGGAGGAGTTGCGCTCAGTAGAGGGGAGGAGAGGAGAGAGTGGACCCAGGTCCCACACTCCCTGCAACACTTGCCGCACTCGGGCACTACGGCGGGCCATCGCACGCGCATGAGCCTTCAGAATGCCGCGGACAGGAAGCTTGCTATACCTACGAGAGTTGAATGCACAACGCATAAGATCAATGCCATCGTCAATGCTGGCTAGTTGAGCAGTAGGCATATCAGGCCACACTCCCAACGCATAGCACTGGACAGGATCCCAGAGCCCCAAGAAGCAGGAAGCAGGGGGAGGAGGGCCCGCACTGCAGGAAGAAGAGCAGGACATTGAAGATAGTCAGCAGCAGCAAAACCACAACAGTTGCAACATCTTGTCGGGATAGAGTAGCGGCCAGAACAGTTCCAATGGTTGCACACCGTTTTTAACATCGGCGATCAAATACATGGTAAGACAACATATGGCCTGGGACATCGTGGCCCCAGGCAAGAATAACTGTTGGTGCGCGGCTCAAGGGGGGAACGGGGTGGCCAAGCCCGGCTGCGCAGAAGCTGTTGCTCCCGCCTCGCCTTTAGCGATCGGTGGACCCTTTTGGGCCCACGCCGAAGATCACTCCGGCGAGTGGTCGCTCTTTGCGCTCCGTCGACCTCAGAACTGGACGCGCTCTCGGCCCGGGCCCAGTGCAATCGCCCGAACCCCCAGGCCGCACTCTCAGCACTCGGGGCGCCTACGCATGACGGGGCGCTACCCTTCCAGGTGTCGCATGACCTTTCTCAGTGCCACGCGCGCCTGTATAGGGTCCTCATCTGGGCCATAGGCCCACTCCTAGCCAAGCCGACTCCCCGCGCGGCCACGCGTCATCGGTGCCTGGCTGCGGTGGCGGGGGACGGCCCGTCGTTCGCAAGCCGCTGAGCGGTCAAGCCCTCGCCTCCTGCCTGCCAACTGGGGCCTTGCCGACCTGAGGGCCTGGGTTTTCTTCGCACGCGGGGCGCCGAGAGACGTGGCGCATCGCCAGCTCAACATCCCGCCTCCTGCCTCAGTCGTTCTGCGCCGGGGGGGTGGTTGTTTCAACATCCCTTGCTCCCCAAGGTATGCAACACCGCCAAGCGTGCGATGGCGGCCTCCGCAACCGCAAGAGCCAGCTGTCGACGGGACCCCAGCTTGCTTGTCGATCTCTCCCTCTATCCCTTTCTCGTCCTCTCGCTTTCTCTCTCTTTCTCTCTGTCTGAAGACAACGAGAGAGTATTTCTCTCTCTCTCTGTCTAAAACCAAGAAAGAGAGAGAGAGAGAGAGAGAGAGAGAGAAAGAAAGACATAGAGAGATATAACAACATATGATACACATATCGGTATATACGGATATATATACGGATATATATATATACACATACATACATACATACATACATACATACAAGACTGCATTGGCGCTGCGCGCCATGCACCTTGGCCCTTTTGAATTTGCA